GATGTCACTCATTGTTTGTAATATTAGAATTGTTCTAATAATTACTACTATCGTTACAAGAACCTACAGGGTCACACCCTAGGATTGAAATGAGCAAAGATGTACAATTTGTTGTATGTTACTAAAATATATTTGGAGTTAAGATATGTATATTTGATATACATATGATTTTAATTATCCCGAATATAGTAAGTAAGCATTAAAAGAATGTAATTTAGATTACAACTCTTTTAATTGATATGTAATTCAGAATAATTAAATAAGTTTTTAAATAAACATTAAAGATTGCAATTCAGATTATAAGTCTTTAATGTATATTTAATTTGAATTAATTAAATAATATTTTATTTATTAATTCGAAATAACTTTAGAAAACCCTAAGATGTTAGGGTAAATGATATATTTAAAGGAGGTAAGGTCTAGCAGCGGTTTTTACTTCAGTCATTTTTCTCAAAACCATTTTTGGGAAAAGAAAATTTTGCTCTCAATCGTGTGAAATAAGTAAAGGTCGAGACGTGTTTTCGTGGAGGCTTATGATTAGAATCGTTCGTGATCACCACTTCCCGCTACTATCTTTGTTGTTTTTAAAGGAACCCATTGTAAGTATTCGCATCCTTTCCTCCCAATTTCGGTTTTATGTACTTGGATCGCTGGTGAGACCGTTGAGTTTTTATTCCACTGCGGAGTAGGGTGCACTGATGGTCCCAACAGGCATGCCATTAGTTGAGTACTTTTTAGTTATCAGCTTTGGTACATTCGTGTACCAATGTTATCAGTGATCATATCAGCTTTGGTACATCTGGGTATCAATGTCCAGCACTGTTAGTGTTTAGGTTACGATTGCACTGAAGTGCGTCATATCTCAGTATCTGTTATGATTTTGCACCGTGTTGTGCATACTGCTCACCTTACTCTCGAATCTTTTGTTCACATGAATATGCATTGGGCTATGAAAATGAATATGAAAGTTTTGAATGATTTCCACTTGATAGAAAGCATGATATGATTATTTTATCATATGTTGATAGTCAGAATTTTCATGAGTTCATGAATTAAAAGAAATTTCAGGTCTTAGTGAAAGAATTGACTTGGATAAGTCGGCTTGCCAATTTAATATTTTATTTAAAATTATTTATTTATGTTTACGATATTTTCATATTTATCTCACTTTAGATTACAACTGCCTCACTAAGTAATACTTAGCACGTGATGATTTAATGAGTAGGTTCTAATAGAGATAAGTACGAGCAGTAAGGAGCCTCCCGAGCATCTTCTTGGAAAGTCATACCAATCATCAGTATCAGTAAGATATCTACGATGTTTTTTACTTTTAGTGGCATATTTAATTATGTCAGTAGTTTTATTTATCGTATTTATCTTAAATAGTATGTAATAGTAAACTAGAACTTCTTTAGTTTACTTTACTTAGTTTAGGTTATTCAGTATTTGTGCATGAAAAGAACATAATTATATTATTAAGTTTTAAAAATATTTTACGAAAATGCATGAATCGGTAAAATCACTGGTTAACAAATGAAATATTTTTCTACGACAAATAATTTATTTATAAGTTGAGATATTCATAAAATAGTTTTTAAAGTTAAAATAGAAACGTTTTAAAATAAAACAATTTTTTTGCAAATTTTAGTTCAGTAAATGTTTTATGAGTTGATGTGACATCTTTAACTCGTATATAGAGACATATACAGGTTAAGGGTATTACATTTATTCGTATCAAAACCGTAGGTTTAGCAGATTCTCGGCATAAATCAAGCCTATTTTATATCAGAAATATGTACATGCCACTAGGGTGTAGAAATTACTGATATGATATGGTCTGATGATTTTATTTAGGATGTTTCTTCTTACTAACATGATGTTATGTGTTTGTGGTCATATGTCGAATGAGGAGGGCTCTAGAAGAGCTACTGAATAGGAGGTTCCTGAAGGAACCGATAGTGGGAGTAGTAATGAGGTTAAGCATGAACCTTGGCAGCAGGGAGCACAGACCCCTGACATCAGGGGATGCCAGCTCTAGATCAGGGGACTTTCTTGCAAGCTCTTGAGGCTATATTGGCAAGATATCAGCCAGTGTAGCACCTCTCCTACCTCCTCCTCCATCTCATACTCCTCCAGCTTCGATAGTGTCAATTCCAAAATAATTAAAAAGTCTGAGAGCTTCTGAATTTAACGGTGAAGCAAGTAAAGGTCCAGTTGTAGCATATACATGGTTGAATGAAGTGATGATTATGTTAGACAATCTTCATTTTTCTGATGAAGAACGATTGGAAGGCATAGTTTCATTTTTGAGATGACATGCCATGATTTGGTGGACAAATGTTACGACATGTGTTTCTTCAGATCAAATTAATTGGTAGTTTTTCCTAGAGGCTTTCCAGAATAAATATATCGGAGAGCAATTTATTATTAAGATGAAGTAAGGCTTGTTCAATCTGATCTAGGGGAACATATTTGTTTATGAATAAGAGTGTGAGTTTAATAAGCTCGCCCGATATACTTCGAAGATGGTTCCCACAGAAAGAGATGCATTCCAGAAGTTTATTCGAGGTATTTGCCCCATATTGAGGGACGTTTGTTGACTGCTAGTTTGACCACATTTCAAGAAGTGGTAAATAATGCTAAGGGTCTGGAAATGGTACGATTGGAAAGAGTTATGTTTGATCAGATTAGGTAGTCAAATAGATCATTAGGATCATTCTCATCTCAATCTAAAAGAGGTTGAGGTTCATGATATCATTACAAGAGTAAATCATAAGTCAATGCTTCTAGTTGTAGAGGATTTGAGGCTAAGGAAAAAGGGCGTCAGGCATAGACAGTGGCTACAAGAGCTAGCAGATCAGCTCAGTCTCAGGGACAACACCCATTATGTACGCAGTGTAGAAAATATCATTTTGGTTAATGTAAAACAGGATCAGGAGTTTGTTTTCATTGTGGAGACCCTGGTAATTATATCAGAGACTGCCCAATGGCAGGAGAGAGATCTATTCAGACAGAGAGATCAGTGGAAATGCCTCAGAGAGATGGTTGATGTAGAGGTAGAGGGAGGGGATATTCAGAGATATTCTCCCAGTCTAACATTTATGCTCCAGCCAGAATTTATAATATCAAGACTAGCGAGGATCGTGACAACCCAGAAATCATAGCAGGTACTTTTTATCTTTATGATAAGCTTGTATTTGTTTTGGTTGATATGGGTTATACAATTTCCTATATTAGCTTAAAATTAGTTAAAAATAAAAAAAAAATAGTTTGAACCCATCAATAGTGAGATAATAGTTGTAAATCCACTGGGTCATAGTGTTAGAGTTACAGGTATTAGTAGAAATTTTCCGATAAAGTTCAAGGGGTTGTATTCCTGATGAATCATTTGGAGTTATCGTTTGACGAGTTTGAGATTATGTTGGGCATGGATTGGTTATCTCAACATTATGGTTGGGTAGATTGCCGCATGAAACAATTATTTATAAAGGATGTAGAGGGTACTAGGATAATAGTAATGGGAGAAAAAGCAAGATCTTTGCCAATGTGATATCATCAATGACGACAACGAAAATGATGAAAAAAGGTTGTACAACTTTCTTAGCAAATGTGATTGATACCCGTACATCTGAAATTCTATTGGAGGATATTCCGATAGTTCAAGAATTTCCAAATATATTTCCTGATGATTTCCAATGTATTTTTAAAAGTTATGTATTTTAGCCTGTAAATGAACAGTTTGGATTAAACAAAGATTTTAATGGGAATCAGATTTTCGGTGAGAGATTTATGTTAAAAGCTATAAAATGGTAAATTTCAGTATTGAAATCAGATATTAGAATCGAATAGGAATTTTACAAAAATTTAAAGGATGTTAGAAAATTGTTGGAAATATTATTTTTGTATTTTAGATCAGAGAAATTTGGCTTAGAACAATGCAATTTTTCATATTTGACCGAAATAGTGGAGTTTTTGTGAGCCAAAGTGAAAAGTCAAAGCCAAGTTGTTTAATCGTTGACCAAGGAACATTTAAATGGATATTATGAAAATGGCAATTGGTAATTTTTAAGTTTCGCTAATGGAAAAAATGGAATTTCTTAATAATTGAATAAAAAATTCAATTATATTAGTATTAAGCCATGGGTTAAGGCTAATTATCATTAGAAAAATAAAAAAAATTGAGCATTTTCAGCTTGAGACCCCATTCATACATGAACTATATATGATTCTCAGTTTTATACATAATGTTTAAAAATTCTCGATTTCATACATGATGTTTTTTCCGTTAACGGATTCACCCACTTTCATCACGAAAAGTGACGTGGAACCTTACGACCACTAATAAAATGACACGTGGCACTTAAACAACATGTTTTTATTTTTTTGGGTAAATTACATCATTCAACTAGTAAATTACATCATTCAACTATCTTCTTACTCTTATTTTAGTCACTAAAGTTTAATTTTTTTTAATTTAATTATTAAACTATAGAATTACTCTTATTTTAATAATTGAAATGTATTTTTATTAATATTTTTATAACATGGCATCAGTTAGTATTATTTATTAATATTTTTATGATGTGGCATTTATTAGTATTATTTTATTAATATTGTTATTATATAAAATAAAAATAAAAATTAATTAATTAAAGTCCTTAAATCTTGTACTCAAACCCCAAATCATAAACCACCAAACTTCTTAAAAATTCCCCAAATGGATTTAGCATGTTAAACTTCTTCACATCATTTCCACAACCCTAAATCTAATAATCATAAGAAATTGGTACATTTCAAAGTTAATTTTCCTACAGAATTGAAGATATATTTCACAATACACCAGCTTAGGTACAAATATTCTAAAATAAAATAGGGTTAATTACCCCATTCATACATGAACTTCTTCTTTCAAGAGTGATGCAATGGTTGCTCCCTTTGGGATTCCCCCATCCTCCATAAGTGTTGAAGCAATGAAAATAGGTGAATGACCAAATTTCTTTTCGAATTTGATTTGTGGCATAGGGGTCAACTTCTCATTATCTATACCTGCAACACAGATGATGGCACTATAAGGCTCTAAAATTATCTGACTTTAACAAAGAGCCACGACGTTGCCTACTCTAACAACAAAATAGTGGAATAATTCTAGGTTTGTGGCAAAATATATTTGTAAATATGGAAGACCAAACTTTGATGGGGAAATTGTTTTTGAAGGAAGAATATTCCAAGATTTTGCAAGTTCATACTGGAAGCGAATGAAGAATTACCTTCAATTCCCACTTCAATATTTTCTAGAGCATGTATGTGCTTTGGAACATCATTTTTCTTCTTATCAATGGATTTTGATTTCCTGTTCTTCTTTTTAGATCAGAAGCTGCACCAGCAGCAGCACCATTTTGGTAAACAATTGTATGTCCATTTTGGAGGCTTTTTCTTGACAAGGGCATAATATTCCTACATAATTGAAGATCTATTTCACAATACACCAGCTTAGGTACAAATATTCTCAAATAAAATAAAATAACAAGCCAAATATAAAAAACAATACAAGAACCCAAAAAAAACCCAGAACTAGAAATCAAGTGAAACGGAAGCCACCCAGAGGTAAAACTACTGATCTAAGCTGTTGGGTTCCACAACCGATGTATCCCAGTGCCTGGTGTAGATGAGCTCCCAAAGTCGCTCGTCTTTGGCGGTTTTGTGCCACGGCTTGCTAACGTAGGAAGCCATTGCTAAAGTATTGGCATCCACGTGTTTCAAAACCTTATATAGAAGATTTTAATCTAAATTCATGAACCTAGTTTATTGTTCATTGGAGTCTTCTTTAATTTTCTTCATCTTGAGGTCGGGTACGGGTACTTGAGAAACCGGGGCAACACGTTTCATCAGGTTTGGGGTGTTTGAATTTGTGTTTCTTTGGGGCTTTGGTTACGAGGAAAGAGGTGGAGAAGGAATAGGGATTTGGGAATTTATAGTTAGGGTTTAAGAGGGTTTTGCAAAGAAGAAGAGCCTGCAACCCATTTGGGGAATTTTTCAAACTCTAGTTACAGGTTAAAACTAATACGTTAAAATAAAAAGTAATTTAAACTTTGATTTATTAAAATATTAATAAAATAAATTTGAGTTATTAATAGATGTCATGTCATAAAAATTTAATAAAATAAATTTGAGTTATTAAAATAAGAGTAATTCTATAGTTTAATAATTAAATTAAAAAAAATTAAACTTTAGTGACTAAAATAAGAGTTAGATGATAGTTGAGTGATGAATGGTGTAATTAACCTAAAAAATAAAAAAAAACATATTTTTAAAGTGCCACTTGTCATTGTCGTAGGGTTCCACATCACTTTCCGTGACGGAAATGGTGAATCCATTAACGGCAAAAAACATCATGTATGAAATAGAGAATTTTTAAACATTATGTATGAAACTGATAATTGGGTATAGTTCATGTATGAATGGGGTAATTAACCCTTTCAGCTTTCATCTCTCCAAGGGTCGAAACTCCAAGTTCTCCAAGGTAAAAATTTTTATTTGGATTTTTTAAGCTATATACTTGATTTTTGAATTTAGCTATTAGATAGTGAATTAATCTACATGAAATTCTCTATCATTTGGTACCAGAATTTCATGGTGAAGATGATTGTGTGATAAGATTTTATGATTAGGGTTATGAAAAGTTTAGTGATTTTAAAGAGTTGTTGAAGAATTTTTATGTTTTTGATGTTAGTGATTATTTTTGGAGCATGTACAATGATTAAAATTAATTGAACATGTGTATATAAGATTTGGTCATGTTAGGGTTTGTAAGAATGTGAAATTTTGATTCAATTTGATGTTGTAATGATTGGAAATGCATGAATTTAATCATAGGAGGTTGAATTAATGCTTGAAATTGAACAAAATGTCCCACTAGGTGACTTGAAGTATTTAGCCATAGAGTAGAAAATTGGAGGATAATATTGAAAAAATTCATGTGGATTAAAAATGATATTATAAGTATTTCATGTGATATGGAGATTGATTTGGATCAAATTTGAACCTTAAAAGTGTAAAAGGGCTAGTTTACAAGTTTTTGTAATTATAAGATTGAAATATTTGAAGGATTCAATGTTGATTTTGATAATTGTAATGCTTAAAAATTTAGTTGGAAAGTTGTTTGGAAACCAAATTTCAAATTTGGTAAAATTTGAGGTGGAATTCGAAAGTTCCCAAAACCTTGGGGACTTGTTTGCAAGTTATTGAATGTAGAGGTATTATTTGGGTAAATTATTGAATGCTAGAAAATTTATTAGTATGCTGAATTTTGAAGTAAATATTGAGTTGGGGTTGAATTACAAATTTATACAGGTAAGTGATTGAAAATCGAAAGTTAGGAACGTTTTGGGTTGGAATTATAAATGTTTTGAATATTGAAGTATTGATTTGAGTATTTTATTAAAGTGCTTGAATTTTAGTAATTAATGTGCAATGGTCTTAACGGTGAAGGACCATTATAAACTAAATTGGAAGGTTGAGGTGAATTCTAAAAAGAATTCACAATTTGTTGTTTATTTGTATAAATTAGAAAAAAGCGAAGGTTTAAGGATAAAAATAAATATTCATGGATTTTGATGAGTATTTTGAGTAGTTAGAAATTTTAGTAGAGATATGTTTTAGTTTGACATCGATTTAATTCTGATTTTTTTATTTTATAAATTCTAGAATTGTTAAATCAACTTATGTTAGTACGATACTAATATGTAGTTCGAACACTTTATGTTACTAATTGGTATTACCAAACCACGACAAATCTATCAATTTGAACGATTCGAAAGGAAAGGGAAAAGAACGTGATTAGGAATATCGCGTAAAGGGTACTATAGTGGGGCAAATGTGAGTGTAGTTTATTTATTTAATTATTTTGATCGAGGATGACTTGAGATAAGTCAACCTCATTCCAATTTACAAGATGATTTGTAAAGTTTATATAGAATATTTCTATAAAATTTTATATCAATTTTATCAATTATTTAGGGTATGAACTGCCCAAGCATGATATTTTTAGATGATGGATTTTTTTATGATAAATGAGCCTATTGTTTGTATAATGATAATTGTTGGTACACTTGGGATGTCATTAGTTGAGTACTTTTCAATTATCACCTTTGCTACATTCGTGTACAAATGTTATTAGTTATCAATTCAACTTTGGTACATTCATGCACCTATGTTCAGCACCGTTGGTGTTCAAGTTATGATTGCACTGAAGTGTGTCCAATCTCAGTATCAGTTATAATTTTGCACCGTGTTATGCATAGTGCACACCTTACTCATGTATCTTATGTTCTCATAAATATGCCTTAGGCTATAAAAATGAATGTGAAAGTTTTGAATGATTTCTAGTTGACAGAAAGCATGATATGATTATTTTATCATATATTGATTATCATATGAATTAAAGGAAATTTTAGGTCTTAGTGAAGGAATTGACTTGGATAAGTCGGTTTGTCAGTTTAATATTTTATTTAAAATTATTTATTTATGATATTTTCATATTTATCTCACCTTGGATTACTACTGCTTCACTAAGTTATACTTAGCGCGTGATGATTTTCATGCGTAGGTTCTAATAGAGATAAGTACGAGCAGTAAGGAGCCTCCCGAGCTTTTTTTTGGAAAGTCATACCTATCATCAGTATCAATAAGACATCTACGATGTTACTTTTGACTTTTAGTGGCATGTATAATTATGTCAGTAGCTCTATTTATCGTATTTATCTTAAATAGTCTGTAATAGTAAACTAGAACTACTTTAGTTTATTTTTACTTAGTTTAGGTTTATAAGTATTTATGCATGAAAAGAACATAATTATATTATTATGTTTTAAAAAGATTTTACGAAAAGGCATGAATCGGTAAAATCGCAGGTTAACAAATAGATATATTTTTTATGACAAAAAAATTATTTATAAGTTTAGATATTCATAAAATAGTTTTTAAAATTAAAATAGAAATGTTTTAAAATGAAACAAATTTTTAGGCAAATTTCAGTTTAGTAAATATTTTATGAGTTGATGTGACATCTTTAACTCATATATCGAGATGTATACGGGTTAAGGGTACGGGTTAAGGGTGTTATAGTTTTGTTTCAATTTCAACGATGGCTTTCACTCCCTTTTTGCCATGTGATAATTTCATTTGAATTAGCACCTTAATCGTAACTCTAAATTTGAATAGATAAATACTTGTGGTCCATAAAATTTCAAAGAAAAATAAAATAGAAATGAATACTCAATAAAAATAAATAAATAAAAAGAACATAATACAAAAATGGGTTGCCTCTCATTCAAGACCTTTGTTTAATGTTTTTTAGTTCGACGACCTGATTTAGACTATAGGTTCCAGGAGAGATAGTTCCACTTCAATTTCTTTTTCCAACTAAGATATTCCTTACAAGAAATTATACGATTATATAATTTTTCCTATTTATCATTGTATATATTTTCATAGACTTTTCTTTGGATATTTTTCAGTTTTGGAAGTTTATCTGAAATCAATATATTATCTACTTCACCCAAAAAATGTGTTCTTTAAATATTTCAGAAATGATTTTATTTCCAACTTCAATGCTTGCAAAGTAGATGAAAAAAACATTAGATTCAAAAGACATAAAATTTAAATTCTTATCTCTTTGCTAGATAACTACGAGTCCACGTTAGAAGCCATATCAGTTCCAACCTTAAAATTCATGTACAACTCGTCAAAAGAATTATGTTCAACATATTCATTCACAAAAGGTTTAATTATATCAACAAAGCTAACATTAGCCACATAATCAGGATGTAACACCCTTAACTCGTATACATGTATTATTACGAGTCAAATATGTCATATAAAATATTCAAAAGGTTTCTTAACCCAAATGGGTCAAATTTGTTTCCTTCACAAGTTTCCAAATTTTATCATTTATTATAAAATAATTAATCTGAGAAAAATTAAAAATATAATATTTAGACTTTTATTTCAAATTCAGTTTCATGAAGTAAACGGAGGTTCTACTCAGTTTCATATAATAAATAAAATCGTCTAGGTTAAAATCCCATTTAATTTAATATTTAAAACATAGTTTTGTATCATAATATTTGTACATACTGAATTATATTTGATACTAACTATATTAATAGTTTGCAGACAATTCTTATTCGTATACATTCCAACTAGAAACTTTAGAACACCATAGGATGTCATCAATGTTACCTGAAAATATTCCTTTGCGATTGATGCTAGCTCAGCTCCTTACGCCTCTCGATTTCTTTTAACTACACGTGAAAATCATCAAATGCTATGTATACACTTAATGAGGGAATTCAAATAATAAGTAGTGCAATACATCACATGCATGTAATTATTT